GAAATAACTGATATGCATGAATGAAAGATAGAACTATGATTTTACAAAAACAGTATATGGTAATTAGAAGTTGTTTTTAGAGTTTATAGTACGCATTACAATATATGTGTTATTTGCTCACGAACATATTTGTTTTTATTTAAAAGTTCTGTTCTGTATGCTTTACCAATATTTGTGTACATTTCTAATTACAATTGATGCTTTTAAAATATATGGATTGTTTTATTCCGTGCGTACGCCACGGATTGTTCTCTCCCATGTTTATTCGTTGTTTATTTTAATAAATATTCTTCTCATGTGTGGCAAAACATTCTAATGCACAGTTCCACTCAGATTCTTTGCATGTATTCAGCAGAGCTTATATAAAATGTAATGGTATTATAGACTTTGGTCCAGATCGCTGTAAAAGTATCTATCACATGTTGTTGTGCAATATCAGCTGATTGTGACATATTACTAGACTGGCGCAGACTTGTTTTTGTAGTTTAAATAAAATAAACAATTTCGCGAAATGGAGGTGTTAGCGAGAAAATCCTCTGTAACTGCAAAATTTCACGCTAACACCTCCATTTCACGAATTTTCTTATTTTACTTATAAACATATTACTTCTACTCTGTACATACCGCTGCTATCATAACAAGACACGTTCCTACGACTATAGTCCTTTCAGAGTTGTAAGAGATTATATATTCAAAGAACAAACGCACAGAGACAATGGATTTTATTTTGCTTAATTGTTTCCAGTTCCTTCTGGTCTTTTAAAAGTGTCATCTAACTTTGGTGTGTGGTTGGTTAAGCAACGTATACCACGTGACAGTATCCCTGCCTTAGATTGACTCGTCTATGTAAATATATACAAAATTGCACGTGCTGATTTGTACATTCCACACTATACATAGGTTGTTACCACTAAACTCGTTGTAAAGTGATATACACGTGCACTGAATGACGACAAACAGACAACAACATGAACATTATATAGGAGCTCAGTTTCCAATGATACTCCAATATCACAAAAAATAATAACAAATGATATTGTATTCACTGACAAATTATTTGAATTACTTTAATATGAGTGGCATAATATGATTATACTAAGTTCACTACATGATTGCCGTACAATTTGAGGTGGATGGAAGTAATTCCCATATGAATAACACCACAGTACACAGTACTCGATTTTCGTTTGCCACGCTTCCACGCTGATTAAAGCTTTTCCACGAGTAGATCATGCCTCGGGAAAGAGAACTCAACGAGCGCTCATTAACTTTATGGAAAATCTTCGGAGACATCCCGCATTGTGCACCTGTCAGTTCGTAAAACAAAACATGATTAGAGCAGGCATCACTTGACTATCATGGGAACGCCGTTATTTACTGTGAACAAAATAATACACAGAATAACACACAGAGTAATATCTAGTAATATCGTAAAAGTTGTGTATAGGTTTAACCTACTTAAAATCTAGAAATTGTTATCACTTGTGTTCAGACTTGGCGATGTATCATACAAACAGGCGACCTGATCTCAGTTAATACTATCTTAAAACATGTTTTTGTTCCTCATAATGTATTTATCTGCAACATTCAATCATCTTAATGCATCATATGCGGTTTTCCAATCATCGTAAATGATATTCGGAAGTAATCAGTCTACTGAAGAATGCGATGCAATTTCATCATACTGTAATCGACTTTTGATTCTCGTTATCAATATGGGTAACGTTGATTATAGGGAAGTAGTCGTCGGGCCGCGTTCTGTTGGATACGTGACTCATGGCGACGTACACAGCGCGTGTAAAATACATTGCTTGTTTACATGAAATTTGAACACGCGCCGCGCGACGACCACTGCCCAGTAAACTCCATTTTAAAACTAATATAGTGTTGATAAGATTGATTCATGTAATCTTGGGTAAATTGATCTATGATTTGTCTGCACAGGATTTACTAATATCCGGATTAAATGTATTCCCATACATTTGTTATGTTTCTCTTGCATGGATATGAATCCAGATTTTAGCCATTAAGACACACGGGACAATCATAGCTACATATGTAGAGTCCATGCACTCGCGTTGGCATAAATAATAGTGACGTTGTTAATTATTGTTTTCACTAGAGGAAGCCGCGTGGGATGATAGAGCAGGCGATGAAAACAGGTAAGTGGAAAGTGTGATTGTCTTAATTATAGTGGAGGCGGTGTCAAAGTTCAATTCATGTTTAATATTTTCTTTTGTGATTCACTGACATATATATATCTGACAAATCATTCAGTTGTTTCAAGCACAATAGCAGGATAAGTTGCTTTTAAATTTACTTTTGCTATGTCTGCATTATACCTCTTCAGTTATAGTAGATAGTAATATTGTTTTTACGTTGTTTTACATCCTTTTCGGGGAAATGAATAAACACATAAAGAAAGTGTTGGGCAGTGCATCCATAATGTCAGACAGGAAGCCGAATGGGTAAAATAGTGAATCTTTAGTGGATATTTCTTGATAACAAACACACAAGGGATTTTATACTGCAGGATCTCGGTGACCGTGTGATATTTATTTAATGACTGTAGTAATTTTGATATATTGCCAAGGAGCAAAATATAAAATACTTCAGCAGTTATTCATTTTACGGCTCCATTTACACAATTTACCAACATTTCTCGATAAACAATGAAAAAAAAGTACAGTGAGAATGGAAAGGAGATGTCTATTATGTTATAAATATCTATATGGCATTTAAGCTGCATCCACAATTAGAGAGATATTAGCCATGGTGTTTTCGATATTATTTAACATAAATTCAGACACAAAGTATTCTACAAACGTTTTAGTAATTTTAATGTGGCCTGGGTAGAATGCACGAGTATTCCGGCAGTTACCGTTCATCAACAAGTACATTGATAAAAGTCAGTTGCGCGCAGCGATAAGGAAGTTAACTGAAATAATTTAAATATGGCAACTAGTAAATACGGACTGTTTAGAACATTGAAAGTAAGCAAAATTCTCTGAGAAAAAGAATAGTGTAGCTGGATATATTATCTTCAATCATTGAATAACTGCAAAATATTTTATTCATGTCACACTTTTTGTTGTGCATGGGTGAATCCGGAAAAGAACCAACCACTTAAAATCCCAGTCATGGAAGCAGCTTGGCAACAATGGATTATTAATACTTCAGCATTTCCACTTCATCATTAGCTCCTAGAAGATTATAACTTGATACATCTTTGACATCCGAGTATTTTTGATTTATTTTCTGCATTTTCTTATTTCAATTGGCGTTTAGATGTTCAGTCGTCTCAGCGAGGAACATATTTGCAGGGATTGAATTGATGTCATGACAACACATTCATACAATTACGTACGAATACAAACTTTCATCAACGTGTTTTTGTATGCCAAATCTATTTTGCTGAACGTATTAAAAAACAAAATAACATTATCGTCCTTGCATTAAATGCATCTTTACGTACAATTTGCTATGATATCACAAACATATACATTACTCATCAGATCAAGTTTAAAACTCCAACCACTCGCCATCACAATCGATACCTAGTTCATTAGAGCATGATATTCAAATTTGTTCTGTCATTTGACGACATTGAATAACACAAGGTCATACGCACCTGCGGCAATTGTATGGACCTCCCCTGTGAATATTGATTACTGAACATAACAACCACTTAATACTTCGAAAAATTGTTTCACTTTCCGATTTAGGCACTCGAATCAACGTGAATGTTCAGCGCTTATGTATTAATTTATTCTATCCATGTTGATAAACTAATGCGAATAATTAACTTCTTTTAATTATGTCTGAAATTGAATACATTATTGAAAAAATCATTTATTAATTACATTGCATCACATTGTGGGATTCATTTTGGTATACCTCATTCCGTCAAGGGCGATGCGATAATTTCTTCTTACATAACCGTTGACTGTCAGTTAACCTTATTCTGACATCGATCATGTGTCTTATGCCATTGGTATTTCAGTCACATACTGAACTTGTAACCATAGCTATTTTAACGATTCTCTAAATGCCGTATTAAAAAAAAGGGGTTGATATTTGAGTGAATGTCGTCTGCTGGAATCCTCAGGCAGGATATTGTTTATAAACTGGATAACTTTATCTAGAATATTCGTTCACTTATAATAATGTTCGTGAAGAAACCAATTCCGATCCGCTATACGTTGTTGCGTAACATTTTGCATGGATACCTTTGCGCTCTTATATACATATGTCAATCACAAATTAACGGCTGTGACAAATTATATTTATATTAAATTAAGTGACGACAACATCAACATTGTATGATTCATCACATGACGTAGCAGATTGTATTAATTATTCACCCATTGTGGTAATTATAACATGAACTTAACCTTTCGATCAAATGTTCATACAGTCACGGTAAAAAATATATATCACTAAATGAATATAATATATCTATATCAGGGTGACGATCACGCCAAAATGTATGCTGTGATTTTAGTTTGGCTGCTCTTTCTTCTAGCTATGTCGTGGGTATTGTGACGATGTTGATTGAACTCAAAATATAATACATCGATTTCTTTTATAACTAGATAGAAAATGTCCCATGTAGTCATGGTGATCATGGATTTTAACACATTATTATATAATATATATATATATATATAGATGTCTTTTTTTAAATTTAAGTGTACAGAAATAAAAAGAGCTAATTAAATAATAATAGTATTATCGACCTTCCACTGACCCAGCTGTATAATCAAAATATTGGGATGCGTCATCGATTCTTACATGTGTCATGTACATCACAAATCTGTCTTGTTCGTTATACGAGGATACTCATATTTTCCCATGCTACAAAACGCCGCATATATAAATATATCTATTCATTCAGCTAAAAAAACAAATGATGGGCAGTATTTCGTTTAGTTGTAGTAAATTTCAATAATATATTTCTCGTTCATTAAATGTACAACAATAAGAGCATTGACTATATTTCATTTCAGTAATTCAGTATTAGATGGGGAGGACTGTGCTTGCAGAAAACCATCCTTCATCCTCGATGACACGCATTTGAATAGTTGCTCCCATGCTTCCCCTACAGCAGGATTCCAGTTATCTTTCAGTGTTGGTTGAATAGATGCAATAAACTGCTGCCCGAACACCTACAAAGTTGAACCAAAATGTGAGATTTGTATATGTAATATTTGTCCTAAATCGATATACATCACATTCCCGACACCTGTTTGATAAACAAAATAATAACTTTTGACACAAGATTTAAATATAGCATTACCTCAGAATTGATAAAAAAAAGAATGAGCTATTTGTTATTTGCACATCACGATTTGAATACATCTCATCATTTCCTTTTCAATCAGTTATAAAATCAACACAATGTAGCTTAATACGATGTCTTCTCGTTAAATAATCTGAACTGTAGACTCTGAATAACTATTTTCAGGGGTCCTGTTTGCCCGCGGCTCCCTTAAACGAATAGCTGTCAACCTTATTTTTGAGGAATCATCAGATTATACTCTGTGCGAATTGAAACAAAGAAATTTGGCGTCAACGACTGTTTTGGAAAGATACAGTAGTCCATATATTTCCCGAATTCTATATATTATAATTTTTATTTGACTATTGCTGTATCATAATTAACCCCACATTATGATAATTGTAAGAAAGTAGAATTGAGTTCATTCCTGAAACAATGTTTTACACGTATTTTATGAAGTGACATTTGCTTAGATGTTGCAGAAAGGTTAAATACACAATGCAGCCTATTATCATAGCCGTTGTTACTACTAACTTCCTTAGCGGTATATCATGTACATTTCCGGTAATTGCGTCTGTTCCTATTAATTACTACTGATGTGAATCCTTTGGGGCCCTGAATTCAGTCCACGTTGGGTCAATTAATTTAATTAGTCTCCCGTCACCGATGTGTCGTAGATACGACACATGCTAACGGGTATCAAGAGAAAGTACTATAGAATTAAATGGATATTGCACACAGGTAATGAATGAATGAATAAACGAATGAACGAACAAATAAATGAATGAATGAATGAATAAAATAATTAATTAATTATTTAATTAATTAATTAATAATTAATTTAATGGGACTAGGTCTAATCCTTGACACAAGAAATTAAATTCGGTTAACAATATTGTGTGATTTTCAACATCGTCGTTTTATCTCATAAGTTATATACATAACAAATAATTGGATTATAATCGGGAAATGTCAAGTTGTAATGATTCTTAAAAGGGGTTGTACTGTTTAATGGATCAGTGGATCACTTGGCGACATTTCGGCGCCAGTTATACTTCAGACTAAAGGGTTGCTCGCAAAATAACGTCGCAAAATTAAGCCCAGGGGATATCTGTGCAAGCCACTGAACAATTGGCATTTACACATAGTAGTATCGTGACACATTAGAAATATACACATATACTGCATTTGTAACACGTCTCAGTTTCATTCAGAATATCTGTATTCCTTTTATTTGGTAATGAGTGATTCGAAATACATGTATTAATACCTACATGGCGCACATTTGGATCTTAACACTTGAAACGTGTTCACATACATCTTGCATTTAAACATAGATCCATTCGCGATAACTATCTGATTTATGTTCTTCTAACTCTTTTTCCGGAAAATGATTAGGACTGATTGGATTAATCGAGAATAAAGAACCCTCTTTCGTGTTTACAAATGCGCAGCAACTATGCTTTATTTGAACTAATGGAACTAATGTCCCAAATTGTACACCTAAAACTAGTTGTAGCACATGGGTTTATAAATAAATAAATAAAACGTGCATTCTATTCTCGTGAATCAAATCTTGTTAATTTATAATGTGACAGATGTCTTTAAACGTTTCGAAATGACCCGGTGTTTGTTCACGTATTTACTACCTTATACTAAAATATATTTGGATAATTAGAGTACTAAAAAATTTTCACTTATGGTCCGGTTAGACTTAAAATACACTACGAATGTTCACGTTTGAGATATAATTTTTGGTATGTGTTGATTCTTGGATATTTTATCTTCGTCGTCATGTACTTCGTTTATTAATTCGAACTTCCCAGTTTGCGTAAAAAGGGTGAGTTTCGCGATTTCGACATCGAAAATGCCTTTGCTTCATTATTTGCTGAGGGACTGCCGCTTAGGTATGTGCTCTGTAACTTGCAGAAAATGTATCTTGAAATTATCCAGGGCTCGAAAAAGTTGTTTTGCTTGACGTGTTCATTTGCTTTCAATTGCGTTTCAGTAGCTGTCATAGTCGTATTCTGAGTCTTGCCGATAACATTTTGGTTCAAATTCACGTAGATATCGAGGAGAAAACTCAAATTTTCAACTAAAGCTAATTTGCATAACAATGTTTTTACCCTTGGTCGCCATATTGAACACGCATACAATTAGTTATTTAAGTATATGACCTTGGTATTACTTATTAAGCTTAAGTGTACACATTCAAAGGAAGTTGTAATTGATACCATCTGTTTTAATTGAGCAAGTGATCAGGTGCTAGGCAGACTCCAGTGAACTAACATCCTGTAACAGCACTGTAACATTTTTTTGGGAAAGTCCAGGATTATTGAAAGAACCCGTTTTTGACTGAGCTGCTTTCGTGTTTTGATGCCTGATACCTGCAACACATGTTCATTCTATTTTTTGTTCAAATTTCATATTTTGAATTTTGTTCCATTTTGAAGTTAGTCATTTGTGAACTAAACGGTTTGCTATTAGCATTCAACAATTTTCAAAATAACTTTTCATCAGTGTTGTGGAGTAGAGCTTTGAGTGCCAATGTCAAAAATAACATAGGATAAACAGTTCAGTTTAGACATGGCCATACATGGACACAGTTTTTTATTAACGGAACAAGCTGGAAGTGGCAAGACTAAAACTCTGATTGAACTAATCAGGAATTTGAGGAAGACCAAAAGAGTTCAAGTTACAGCTAGCACAGGCATGGCTGCAAGTCAGTCAAGCACCTGTGGTTCGGATCGGACGATTTCTTTTCTTTCCAATTCGTTGTACGCCCAGAAACATGGCAACGTTGTTTTTGGTGAATATATAACATGTTCTGTTCCAATAAAGGATTTTGATATGCATAACAATTCCTTAATGAAACATTTCTTGTACTCTATAAAATTTAACAATACCATTAGCCCAAGATGGACTTCCTGTTCAACACGTTGTTGAATGTTTGCGTCACTGTACGTAAAAACACACTCTCGAACTTGACAATTTTAAAGTTCAGACCATTAAGCAAATAGATGGAAATACCAGTTGCATAAATCATGAAGATGGATGATTCGATTGGTGAACGAGATAGCTGCATTTAGTGTTCTTTTCTATGCAATATAAAATCATAGCGATGCTGTGGGCAGCGAAGGGTGACAGATTGTTTTGGTTCAACGGCTCTCAAGGCACGGGCAACTGACATTTCCTGATTTTTTTTTTACTATTCCGACGTGTTCTGGGCTGTATATAACAGTCAGACACTGACAAGTAAGTAAGTACTAGTAAACAGTCCGGGACATAGTCAATACAAGCCGGTAGGCTGGTTGATGATCCGCTCCGCTCAAAAAACAAACAATATGTTTTGGCTGTTTCCATGGTAGGACATGAACGTGAAGCTAACGTCAGTTTATAACTAAATGGGCTCTGTATATGAAGTTCGCAAAAACCATTTAGTCTTTAGAAGTCACTTAGTTTATTACTAGGACGTATTCTGCTGTTACATTTCCAACCATTTTGCAATAGTATTTTCTAGAATGAAGGCATTAACAGTTCATTCAAAGTTGTGTTGGGATTACGTGTAACAACGTCGGAATCGGTGATCTCTTACCAGTGCACAACACAGCCAAAATAAAAAAGCATGATCATCTGATCCAAAATAAAAATCATGATCTTCTGAACACTGCTATTACAAAACTGGTAGGAGGTAATACATTTGGAGCGAAAGTATTCAAAAATCAGTTTTTGGCTGTTGCAATGGCAGTGGTGCGCCAAGATTTTCTTTTCAATTAGTGACGGCAGGACCTACCTGTGAAGTATGAACAAAATCAGCCAAAAACAAAATCTCAGGGGAGTTAAAAGCCATTGCTGATGACAAGTTACCCCAACTTTGGTGTCAAATTTCTTGGTAATGAAAATAGATATCAAAAATTCAAATAGTAACTTTGTGCCCACACTCAAGCTGAGTAGAATGAGCTATGTCTGAGGTGTTTTATCCCAAATTTGTAGGAGGAGATACATTTGGCACAAAGCTATCCAAAAAAAAAGTTCTTTGGATGTTGCTATGGCAACAGAGGGCCAATTTATATATATATATATTTCTTTATTTCATTGGTGAGACTAAGTTATATATTTGTTACATACTATAATATATCTATATTTGAAAACGGTTATGGGGATTATTAATTTTAATAAACAATATTCAATTATCCTTTACAATAAAATCATAATGATAATGTTTCTTGTTTTTTGAAACTATGGGCATTATCAGAGCATGGGTCTTATTTTGGAACTCCTGCCAGAGCAACTGCACAAATCATAAGAGCAAATTAATAGCTTCTGAGGATGGTATTCCCAGAATAGGGCAAGAAACATAAAACTTTAATGCTCAACAACGATGAAAGGACCAGTTACTGCGACAAAGCCCTTCTATCCGCGAGACCCACCCAATACGAAACCCACTTACCGCGAAAGCCACTTACCGCGAAGCTACTAGTGCAAATAATTATATATATTTTTTACTTGTATGTATATTATTTAGATTATGTAATTCACACATTCAATTGTTATTCCGACAATCCCGTTCACTTTATTTCTTCGAAATGATTATTTATTAGACTGTTGTATCATTATAAATCAATATTTAATATTTAATTTCCAAATTGAAAAAAGAAACAGTGCTTTGATTTGGTCTCCTTTTAAAAACTCCACATCAAAAATGACTAGACCCGGCGGCAAAGCTCCGTACCTGGCGACGTTCAAATCATACGACTTTCTTCATCTTCCCCACGTTGGTGTGTAGCTTATTGTCGATATAAATAGGTACAATGAATATACATTCGCTGTATAGGTGTTAACATTTTTTTAATGCGGCTAGAGAAAGTAACTATATCTTGAAATTATCCAAAGAAAATTATTGTAATGCAATTCTTCGTAGTATTGTTTGTGTATCTACTTACTTCAATTAGATCTACGTCAGCCTTGTATCCATGATGTCGACGTCCAAGATCCAACAATATCCTATCGAATTTATCCTTATCGTCTAAATTCATAACCAATTTCCGTGCAGTCGTCATGAATCGCAGTCCATGTTCTCGAATCTTTTGTATGACAGCAGGGTCTTCAAGTACGATACTCCCACCAGAGAGACCGAAAAATTGCCTTGTTTCTGGGTAGTTGTCAAACATTCTACAAAAAAGGAATTATTCGAGTATACATGTTTACATATTCTTTTAGGACATAGTTATATGAACCTCCTTCTCATTGCCTTTGTAAATTCTCATGGGGTACAACTTGATAAGGTTCATATCGGGAACTGAATATTCTTTTACTATCTCGATGTATTCAAATCTTGTTAATGTGTGACCATATCACGAACACGAAGTAAGACGATTCCTACTCATGTGCAGCTGTATTCAGAAGCCGGACACAAATCCACCATTCTAGGAAATTCACAAAGCTTGGCGTTTTTTTCTTTCTTTTCAAATCATGCATGTATTTTCTTTCATCAGATGTTTCGATTCATAGATGTGTCACTTGGCAGGTTCGATAACACTGAAGCCAGACGATGATGATGATGAGTATCAGTATTAACCTAAACTGAGGCCGAGTGATCGATAGTACGATACTTCCACTAAAACACACAAACGAGCATGACCTATTATATTAATGTGTCTCCTCATCTGCAAATGTGCACTGAGTACAATTACTCCCTTCATTGTAATATCAAAAGCATCACCGGGACAACGGCAATTTTACCTGCTAAATATTTCCCGGCTGTTAATCAAGTTTTGTCAAGCGTATGTGTCTTTCTTTAAGGCTTCCGATGCACGATGGTTATTATCAACAATCTCTCTATAGTCACGGATCACTAATTATAAATGGCACGGGCAATATATTTTAGTATAAATATTTGCCAAATCAAAAATATCTAGCCGGATTTAACCCACATGTGTGCGTGTTATTGAACTATCTGACAATTAAATGCTGTTAAAGTTTGTCTAGGAATATATTTAAAGTTCGCTAATATGCAGACGATGACGACCAATAATTGTTACTAGAAATGAATGGATATTGTCAATATCCAATATCTTACCGAACGCAAATGTCGATGATATCATAAAACGGTCGATGAGCCAAAATTAATTTGATTGTTTCACGATGTTGATCTGATCATAGGCATAGCAACGCATTATCACACAGCGCTGTATATTAGTGAGGTAGTGGAAATAATCGGTGAACAGAAGAACAGGAAAACAAAATCTTACCCCATAAACATCAACAAGCCGATCTTTTCGAGATCTCCGTGAATACTGTGCCATGTACTTGTAAGTATTTTGGTCTGTTCCTTTGTTATCATAGGATGCTCGCCATTCGACGATATTAGACATCCCATAGCAGACCAGAGCCCTCCTGCAATCGTCTAAGCTAAACGAACAAAGTGTGCCCCGTGAAATAGTACTACGGTGCTGTAAACACGGCTTACTCGCCACTGCCAGGCAGTATACACGAATAATAATAATAAGTCATTCACGTCAATCATGTATAGTTAAACACTGCCTGTCGTTACTGGCCGGCGTCTCGCATTATCTTGCCTCTAATAACTACTTACGACTATTAAGGTGAACTGCAAATGCGATACGCAGCAGGAATGGTAACTAAATAAACAGGGATATACCAGATATCTTCCTGCCACGTATTCTGACAGTGCTGACAAAGACAATGTCTTCGAGGCTCCAATTCACATGGATTGCTATAGGCAGTATGTAGTACCACTAGATAGTAATGTCTATTTTGTTCACTCACGGGCGAATGTGACTTGATTTATACGGTAGATTAAAAAAAACATTGATTTAGAAGAATAGTTGACAACAATGTGTCATATTTGATTTTATATATATTGAATTATTTTCTTTTTGATTCCTTGAAGTAGGAAAATAACGGATGTCGTTCTGAACATATTCACTGGGAATTTGAAGTAATCATAACAATAATCTGATGAA